TTTCTTTTGCACACGCACACACTTGAAAGCCGCACACCCACAATCACACACAGACACAGGTAGACGACGTGCGTTAGATATTTATTTTTCTCTCTCTCTCTTTTTCTTTTATTTTTCGTGTGTTTTGTGATTTGCAATTTTGTTGTTGCTGTTTTTCTTTTGGCTTTCCGCGTTTTGTATTGAATTTTCCCCGAAAAACGCGCGCGCCCCTCTCGTATTTTCCTTTTGGTTGCCTTTCTATGAATTGTCAGCAATTTTCCTGCGCACACTTTTCTGGCAGCGGAAAACTCGGAACAAGAAAAACGGTGCTATGACAATTCGCTCCATTTCCACGCAAACACAACAACATCACTTGCATTTTATTTGTGTTCTCTGCATTTTCCTCGCTGCCTTTTAATTGAGTTAAATTTGCTGTCGGATCCGGAAAATTTACGAAATACTATAATTCGGTCACTAATTGTTTTCGTTTCGCCGCGTTGTCTGCGTCTGCTTTTCCGTCCGTCTTCCGGCGCCGTGTTCCTGGTGAGCGTTTTCCTTTTATCTCGCCTGTGCTGGCATATTTTCTGCGAGTTTTGGGGAAAAACCGTCCGCGGAACAACCGCTCGCAAGGAAATTTTGTTTTGTTTGTTATTGAAATAGGGAAAACAGTGTGGCAGATGAAAATGTTGCATTCAACCTAAAAAATCCCAACAAGTTGAAATTTCCTAAAAAATCCAGAATTCCAATTTTCATCGGATAATCAGCGGATTTCCAGAAAAAGTTAAGAAACTAAATATTTCAGTAAATATAAAAACAACAATCGGTATTTTTTAATTAAAAATAAATATATACCGTGACTTTTTCCCAAATACTGATATTGCGATAGTTTGCAATTAAGTATGACCGTAGATAGTTTCGAAATGCGCACTTTTTAAAATAGAAAAGAGGAATTTCGTGAAATATATTCCAAATTTTGACCAAAATCCACTTCATATTTTTTAAATATGCTTCAACTCTTGTTTCGTCTTCTTTTATTATACAAAAACTGTACAAGTCGCATTTATCACAGTGAAAACTGAAGATTGTTTTTTAAATGAAATAAAATTTAACTAAGCAAAAATAGAGATGGTAACTGGGGGATGTTGCTTAAAACTATAACTATACAAAAATGATTTAGTTCTTCTTCTTCTTCTTGTCTGGCTGGGCCAAGCCTTGAGTTTCTTGGTATTGGCGGACGATCTGTTCTTGGATATCTGGAAGGCAGGGCGAGTACCGAGAGTACTCCATGGTGAACTCACCCTTGCCCTGGGTACTCGATCTGAAAAACACAACAAAATATCAATTAATATAATTGTGATTTAAACTTTACTTTATCCCCTCACCTCAGCTCGCCGGCATAGCCAAACATATCATTGAGAGGCACCTCAGCATAGACCGTGAACCAGCCTTCGGTTCCCTCTGTGCCGGTGATAATGCCATGCCTCTTGCTCAGATGACCCATCACAGCGCCCTGGAACTCCTCGGGAGCGGTGACTTCCACCAGCATAATGGGTTCCAAGATCTGCCAGCTGCCATTTTGGAAGACATCCTTGATGGCTCCATGGGCGGCCAACATGAAGGCCAGCTCACTGGAGTCCACGATGTGGTGACCACCATCCTGAAGGCGGAACCGAATGCCAGATAGCTTGTGGCCCGAGAGCATACCCTTCTCAGCCATTTCTCGGTAGCCTAAAAAGCATAAAAGTTAAGTCTCAAAATAAAATTCAAAATATTGAAGTACTCACCCTTTTCCACGCCAGGCACAAATTGTTTTGGCACATTTGTGCCCACAGTTTCGTCCACAAACTCCAGGAGGGTATTTTGATTGGGCGGCAGTGGCTCCATGACTCCAATAATTCTGGCATATTGACCCGATCCTCCAGACTGTTTCTTATGCAGATAATCAAACTCACAGGGTCCAACCAGCGTCTCCCTAAATGCCACCTTAGGCTTACCCAGCGTCACTGGGCAGCCGTACTCCCTCTCCATACGCTGGGCATAGATCTCCAAGTGCAGTTCACCCATTCCAGAGACAAGGGTTTCCTTGACATCGTTATCGAAAAAGAAGTGGAAGGTGGGATCCTCTTTGGTGAATCTCGCAATGGCCTTTGAGAAGTTATCCCTGTCCTTGGAGTTGTTTGGTTTGATGGCCATTGAAACCACAGGTTCTGGCACAAAAATGGATTCCATGGCCAGATTGTCCTTGGGATTGGTAGTGAAGGTGTCACCAGAGGCGCAATCCACTCCAAATAGAGCGAAAATATCGCCGGCATAGACCTCGTTGACATCCTCCATTTGGTTGGAGTGAAGGCGAACGAGGCGAGCGATACGCACCTTCTTGTTGGTGCGAGCATTGAAGATGTTGTCGCCCTTCTTTAGCACACCCTGGTAGCACCTGAGGTAGGTCAGTTGTCCAAATCGTCCCGCTTCCAGTTTGAAGGCCAAGCCCACAAACGAATCCTTGCCATCGCGAGCCGGGTTCAAGACTATCTTCTCTGGTTCTTGTCCCTCCTTTTCGATGAAGCCCAGATTCTCCACCTCTCCGGGATGGGGCAGGTAATCCAGTACAGCGTCCAGCAGGGGCTGAACACCCTTGTTTTTCAGGGCAGTTCCCACCAACACCGGCGTAAAGGTCCTTTTGATGCAGGTTCGCCGCAAGGCAGCTCTCATGTCATCCTCCGTGAAGGGTTTCTCCTCCAGGAAGAACTCCCCGAACGTGTCATCGGCATTGGAGAGATGCTCAATGAGTTCCTGCCTCCTCTCCTGGCTCTCCACACGCATATCCTGAGGGATTTCGTCCAGCCGCACATTCATGCCATGTTCGCCGTCGAAATATATGGCACGTTCCCTTACCAAATCCACAATTCCCTTGCAGTTGCTCTCCACCCCAATGGGCAGTTGGATAAACGCAGCATTATGATTCATTTTGGACCTCATTTGCGACAGGACTCTGTAGGGATTCGAGCCCAGGCGATCCAGTTTGTTGATAAAAGCCAGACACGGGACATTGTATCGCTTCATCTGCCTGTTGACGGTCAGGGTTTGGCTCTGAACTCCACCGACGGCGCAAAGAACCAGCACGGCGCCGTCTAGAACGCGAAGAGCACGCTCCACTTCCACGGTAAAGTCCACATGTCCCGGTGTATCAATGATATTGATATTGGTGTCCTTCCACAGGGTGTAGGTGGCCGCCGACTGGATGGTGATGCCGCGCTGCCGCTCCAGCTCCATGCTGTCCATGGTGGCACCGACATTGTCCTTGCCCCGCACCTCGTGCATCTCAGCAATCCGGCCCGTGTAGAAGAGTATCCTCTCCGTCAGAGTCGTCTTACCACTGTCTATATGCGCCGATATGCCTATATTTCGGATCTTCTCGATCGGCTTGTGCTCCGAGAACTTGGCATGCGAGCTGTAGCCGGCCTGCAAGGTAATATATTAATTTTATTTGCTTTTCTTACAATTACATAACGAGCCGTTGGTTTTTGGCTCGTTTTTCTTTGTTCAACTTACTTTGCCCAGAGTTTCCAATGCCCTTACGCGCAGGGCATGGTTCCCGGTCAGCAATCGTGTAATTAGCGACATCCTGGCTAGTTTTTAATTAATAAATCTGGATTTAATTAAAAAACACGCGCACGAGGGGACAGTTACCAAACCAGTGTGACCAGTGCGGAGACCGCCAAAATATACCATCATGTGGCTTCAAATATACTAAATAAGGAAATAATAATAGGGCTGCATATAATACCGTTAATTTCAAATAGGTTTGTTTGCAAAGTATTAAGTGTACTTTTAATTAAAAATTAAAGATAATCATTATTTAAATTTAAATTTCTTTGAATGCAAATAATTATTTTAAATAATTGGAAAATGATCCAAGAAATCTTACCAAGAAAAAAATATATTTTAATTTTTTTTGAACCCTTTATTATTATTACCTACTAACTAAATATGCAAAAAGAAGCTTTATATTTTATTTATATTATTATATTATATTTATCTTATATTTTATATTAATTTATGAAATTTCATCAATTTTTTCATAGACAAAGAATCAATATTTTTGTTATACATCTCACCTTAAATTAAACAATTAAAACCAAGCACTTCCCCTCTCAAAATAATTAAACTTTATTGTATATATTACATTTATATTTCAACAAATTCCTTTAGTAGGGAGGTAATACGATTACAAGATTGGTTTTCGGAGTTATCTCTTTGATATGTTGACAGGCAATTCATTTGTTGTGCCACATCGCACATTTCGGATGTTTTATATACGCAAAATGGGACGGTTGGTGGTACATACAGACATCATGGGTTTTAATATGGATTATAGACACACACAGATATACATAATTGTTATACAGGTACACGAATTTATGCTAAAAATGTAGTTAAATCATTGACTCAAACGGATGTTTCTGTTGGTGTAAGATATCCACGCCACAATTGCTTCGACGTATTAAATTTTGGGTTCTGCAATGGTGAAATTTTAAATTAATAATTATAAAACATAGATTTGGAATGCCAAATAATAACCTAGACTGACTCTTATCTATTTACGTACAGCTTAAATCAGGGAAATATGTAAAGATGCACAATACAGACGTCTAACACGATGCTAATAGAGCTATGAAGGCTTTGATTTTTTGAAAACAGAGTTTGAAGAGTATCAAAAATAGTTGCATTTATTTACATTTTAAAATCTATAAATTTTGAAACTTCAAACTCTGTTTCGCAATCATTATGAACGGATTTGGTGCTATTTATATGAACGTTCAGAGATATAGATTTGGGAGCAGTAGGTGCCACACTCAACACACTCACAACTATTCACAAAATACACTGAGAACGAACGATGCAAAATACCAAAGTAACAAAATGAAAGATAGAGGGATTCAGTTTTTTGTTTTCTTTTTTTGTTTAGCAATTTATTTAATATTTGTTATATTTTTGTATATATATTTTGTATATTTTACTTGTGTTTGTTTTGGTTAAGGTGTGTGTGTTTGGTTTCAAACTTAGTGTTAGGCATAAAATATAATACAAATTGTTTACAGCTTTGTCTTGGCTAGGCTAAATGATACTCCCCTTCTTAAACAACCCGCGCCCCCCAAGATATATCCCATCAGATCACAGTTCAATATAAACCCCACATATAGCTAACCAAGTCAAAGTCAGGGAATGGGAATTGTGTAGTTGGAAAAACATCGGCTTACCGATGGAGATTCTGTTCTGTGGCTTCTTCTCGCTACCCTAGTCTTTGTCTTTGTCTTCGGAATTGACTCTATAAAATTCGTTTCAAAAGTGTATATTTGGAGTGGTTTTTGGTTGTCGTTATTAAATAAGTAATACTTGTATATAACTGGTACCTGAGCCCAAAAAAAAAACTCAAATGCAAACAACCCTCTACTGGCACACCTACAAATCGTCCTCTGGAAAAACTACTACGATATTAGAGATACATATAGTAAATAGAGATTATGATACGGCGGCTGTGAATGACCAACTACAAATACATATAGATGTGTGTGGCTGTGCGTGGGTTCTTTGTGCTTTTGTTCCGCTTGGATTTGGATTTGGATCTGGATCTGGATCCTCCTTAGACGGGCGTTATGTTGGCCGGGCCCGGCACCTGGGAGGAGGAGGATCCTTCAAGCCTGGCCGCTGCCTCCTTGCAATTGCTTATCTGTTGGGGCTGCTGCTGCGGCTGCTGCGGCTGCTGCTGTGCTCCCGCCGGATTCGTCATGGCTTCACTGTACTCATCCGCCTCGTGCATGGGCGAAAGGCGTGGCGAGAGAGTGGCATTCGGGGGCGCACTGTTGAGAGTTGGAGGCATGAGGGGAATGCGAAGACGAGCATGAATGATTTAATATATTTTTAAAAATAATTATATAATTAAAATAATACAAATTAATAAATAAATTAAAATAAAATGTTTATGAATTTGTTTTTAATTGAAAAAGTACAAAATTAAAAATGCTGTTAAGTGAACTATGTATAATTATGATGATTTTGTAATCCACATATGTGGACTTTCAATGATTTTAAAATCTTTTTCTAGAAATATGTTCATTTTTTTTATACATTTTTAAGATCAAGTAGCTCTGGGCCTTTATAATTTAGGAAAATTAGTTATATGAAATAATTATCCTTGGAGTATATCATTTTCTTATTTAATCTTTCTAAGCAAGCGAGCCTTTAATTTTATAATAAAGATAATACCCAATTTGGACTGCAAATTATGACTAGATTATTGAGCATAGGAAAGAAGGGATAAAGAGTTTTATGTACAGAAAAGCATGAAAAGATTCTAGCCCTTCATGAAAAGAATGATGTGTTTCATGTATGAATGCCTGAGGAAGGGGACTCTCTCTATACTCTGAACACACTTACTGGTTGCCATTGATTTGACGAACTTTAACGGTGACCGGAATGATCAGTTGATCCGAGATCCCATTGCCATCCTTGCTGATCTGCTGCCAGACTGTAGACCGATCCTGGGGAATGTTCACTGTGGGTCCATTGTTGCTCCCACTGCTGGGTTTACTTCCCGAAAGGGGAATGTGAATGGTGGTGGGACCCGACTGGTTGGCATTGTAGTTGGGCCCAGTACCAGCTCCCGGGGGATGCTGATGGTGATTGTCCTTCAATGTAAGAATTGGCACATAGTTGCATAGTTTTTGGGACCAAAATTAGCTCGGAAAGAGGGGATAGATATAGCATATCTAAAGGTCTAATGTTGCATAGGTGGAAGAGAGGCGCATAAGCAAAAAGAGCTCGCTAAATTAATGGATGTGTCTCAAAAAAGGTGTTCGATCGAGTGAATGTGTCAAAAAATATGCCAATTAAGGTGAAATTGTGTTATAATTTATGCCAATTATTTGTTGTTTAATTTTTTTATTTGTATTTTTTTTTGTTTCATTTTTTGTTTTGTGTTTTGCAATTTTGAATTTTTGCCTAAGCTTTTTTTACATCAATTTTCGCTACAATTAGGTGTGTTTTTATGTCGCTGGTTAGTTACTTGAACTTTCAACCCGATGACTATAAAATAACATAACAGGTTCCATTTAATACATTTAGGTACTTGTTGTACAGTGTAAACGCTTGACTAATTATGACTTAATCTAGAATTTCATTTACATTTATAAATATCATAGATATATGTATATATATAGGGTAAGAGTAGTTCTTTTTAGAGTAGGTTCGGATAGGTAACACATTTTGGTTTGCACTACGTAAAAACACATAATTTCCATTTGTTTTTTGTTTTTTTTTGTGGGTTTTGGCATTTACAGGTGTTCTAAAAGCTTAAAATCAAAAAATATTTTAAAAAACGTTCATCAAAAATATAAACAAAATGCAAAAAATAGCAGCATGCCATATAGGTTTAAATTAAAATGGGACACAAGGGTAAAAACATTTACAAAATACTGTTAAAGACATGATAAAAAACGTATAGTATATATAACAGAGAATTATGCATATACAGGGTTATAATAGCTATATAGTTGGTAGTTGAAGAAATTTTTTCAAGACCGACAAAATGCAATTAAATCAATACAAAAAAAATCTATGATTAATTGAGTTTATCGGTTTCGGAAGCACCATCGATCTCTAATCGTTGGCTGTGTGCTTTTCCTGCAAACGCAAATGAAATGGGCTTTTCTTTTCTTTGCTATTTGGTGTGTTGGTGGTTGTGTGCTTGTGGGTGGTGCTTGTCTTTATATGTGCTTGGTGTTGGGTGTTGGTGTTTCTATTTCTTGAGCAGACTACTCTGGGCCTCAAACTCCTTCTCATTTGCATTTGAGGTTGAGCAGCTGATGAGCCCAAGGCCAACGGCACTGCCTGCACCGCCAGCACCACCTTCGACCGGTGGCTTGGTCACCACCCGGCCATTACGACCTTTTCCCCAGGGGAAAATTCTCGCCAATAAGCCCACCTCAGCGTCCAGTTTGTGCAGATCATCTGCCGCCGCCCTCTTGGTCATCTCTGGCATTATGTCGTCCAGGATCTTAAGCTCGCGACGCGTAAACACCAGATCCAAGGCCTTGCGTATGCCAATCATCACCACCAACATCAGCGGAAACAGGATGGAGGTCTGCGAGAAGGACTTGATCAGCCAGAGAATAATGAGACAGGCCAGCTGAATGATGGTGAACAAGTGAACGCGCTTAATGGGGACCTGAAAGGAAATTAAAGAAATTAAAAGTTATAATAATCAGGAACTTTAAAAGACTAAAGAAGAAGCCTTAAAGTCCCCCCCCACTCACCTGTCGCAGGAACATATAATCCGGTTGGTACTTGGCCGGCATGAACATGATCAGTATGCGATCGAAGAACTGTAGACCCTTGAGCGAGGCCACTCCCATGTACAGAAAGACACCGAACAGGACCGGCATGGGTATGTGGCCGAGCAGCGGGGTCAACAGCACAGAAACTCCGATGGTCAGGAAGATCAGGATGTGGGTTACCCGCTGCTCGCGCACACCCAGGAACTGTGGCTTCTCACCAGGGGCCGAGCACTCAGATTCAAGCTTCAGTGAGTTCACGTGATTGATGCTCAAGACGGTGGCAGCCACGAACCTTGTGAAGAGAGATTAATTAAGAAATTAATTAAAAAATCATTTAAGATTATTTAGATCTTTTCCAATCGCAACTCACCAAGGCAGACCCATCAAGCTGCAAATGGCAATCAAAATTGAGAGAATAAACAAATCCAAATGGTAGCCGCAGCCCTTCTTCAGCTTGTTCTCCTTGCGATTCACTATAACGGCGGTGATCTGCTGGTCCATAAAGATCAGGATGGTTCCAAGCAGGGCAGGAAATACTGCAATAATGGGCGACCACCAGGGATTCTTCTCAGAGAACGGTGGAATCAGCCAGCCGCGGGTGCTCAGAGTGGGCTTCAGCTCATTGGGAACCTCCAGCTTCTGGGTGGGTACGCCCAGCGAATAGTCAAAGAAGCTCATGGCAAAGATGGCAATCAACACGGAGAAGTCGCTAATGTACTGGCGGACGATCGAGGGGAAGAACAGGGCGTTCTTGAAGTCCTTCAGCAGGGTGGAGATGATAAAGGTGCCCGTGCAAAGAACCACCGACATCAGGAAAACATTCTCGGTGGGTGGCGTTCCGCAATCTCCGCCAACCAGGGTGCCATTGTAAGACTAAATAAGATTAATAAAAATATTTAAAGTATTTGAAATTACAAGAATTTATAGAATATATTGTAATATCTTGTATAATTAATTTACCTCACAATAATCCCAATTATACTTGGCATAATCCACCACACTGGCATTGCTCCCAATTGGCGGTGTACATACACAGTCGTATATCCCCTGATTGACTGGAAAGTTCTTCCCAATAACAACCACATTCTCAATGGCCTTGTAGATGAAAATGAAGGCAATCAGGGTGGCAAAATTCTCCTCGGTGAAGCGGGTTATGTAGCAGACGAGGGCACTGGCATCAATCGCGGTCAGGACGATGCAAATGCCGGCGACCCACATGCCGATCCAGAACCGGAAGGTCATGTATTCCCAGCCCATCTTCAGACAGAACTCGTAGATAATTGACTCAAAGACCAGGACTGGACCGGTGGACCCGAGAATTGTCAGCGGCTGACCCGAAAAGAAGCCATAGCCCATGCCACAGACGAACCCGGAAACCAGAGACTCCATCGCGGCCATGTGCTTGCCGGTGGCCTCCGCCAGGAGACCGCCGAACGTAATGATCGGGGAGAGGCAGGCAAAGTACAGGAAGATCCAGGAGGCAACGCACTGCATGGATAAAGCGTCCTTGTAGTCACTAATGTACCAGGGTATCTTCCGCTTGACGTCATTGATGAGACCGCCAAAGAGACGGCCTGTCCTGGACAAACCGGACTCCTCCCTTAAACGCGCCTCTTCCTCCTCCTCGTCCACCTCCTCCTTGGGCAGCTCTGGTGGTCGCTTTCGCACTTCCTGCGAGGGAATGGCTGCCGGTGGCTCAATACGAATGGTGGGATCCCATTCGCCAGGCGGTAAAACAGTGACAGCATCCAGGAACTCATCCACTCCGGCCAAAAGGTGATCCCGCTTCCGCGCACGGTAGGCCACCTCGTGGAAGATCTCATCGGACATCAGGGTGGCCATGGCCCGGCCAATCTCATGGAAGTTGCTCTGACTGCCTGGAGGGCCCAGCAGGATGAAGATGAATCTGCAAATTAATTTGGGATTCATTTTAGGTAAATAAAATGGCCTAAAAAGAGATCTTGAGCTCACCTGGTGGGCACTGGCACCTCGGTGAGATCGCCCATGACCGCCGCCGAACTTAAGCGAATGAAGCAGGAGAGCGTTCGCTCCAGGAAGTCCACCTCGCCCACTAGGATGTTGCTGGCCTCCGCGCCCGGCGGTATCTTGCGCATAAAGTGGGTGTTGCCCTTGTGCTGCTGCTCGTTTAGCTCGGTGCCGCTTCCCGGCCTGGCCATCGACTGGTTGCTGGGGCTCTTGACCATGTCCTCTGTGATCACCGGCAGGTTTTGTGCAGGTCGTGATTTTTTAGAATTAGATTTTTTCTCTGCATTAGTCGGGAGTTTGCAGGTTTTTTTGGTTTCACGGGGTGCAGGTTTTGGTATCGTATATTATATTTTTTAGGATACGTGCGTTGATAGGTATTACAACAATAATAAGAACAACAACATGTAGTTCAACACGTTACAACGATACAACAAAAAACATACGAAAAAAGAAGTGCAAAAGAGAGATATTGGATTAAATTCGGTTTTGGCTAAAAGATGCTGCAAGAGATTGTTCAAATTCGGTTCAGATACTGAGATAATGAAGCATGCAAAATATATTTTAAATTGGAAAGAAGTTAGTTTGAGAAGTGTGTGTGTGTGTGTGTTAGGTGACAAGCGTGCAGATGTGTGTTTTATTTGGGTTTTTAATTTTTCCTTCAGAACCAATCCCTGCTTTTCGAATTCGAATAATCATTTCAACCTTCATGCAAATTTTGCCACCTTCTTAGGCCCTTTTTTCAAACCAATTCTATTTACAAAACTCCAAACTACCAAACAAATATTCAATATTTATATATCAGGACTATTTAAACGATCAACAGACACGCAAAATCAAACGGTAAACAATAACGAACACGGTCAGTTCTTGAGTTGATTGAATTTCGACTTTGGACTTAGGTTCTTTACCGAGCGCTCTGTTGCTGGGTTTTCCACTGGGCACCGTTAGGAAACGCCCCATGCCGCCGGCAGCGGTGCTCAGGTTTGGATTTCCATTGGTTCCGGGCGGTCCAGGTTCGCTGGCCGTTAGAGAAATCGGCGTGGTGGCCCCCAATGTGTGCTCTTCAACTGGAAAATGTTTTGGGGTATCGATTTTTTCGGTTCTTCATTGGTTTGGAGGTAAGCTTTAAAACAGAGCTGTCCACAGAGAGCTGTACCAGAGGGACGTAAGACTCTCCATCAGGGACCTCTGTGAACAGCTCTGCTGTAGGATATCTAAGTATCTCGAATGAGATCTGCTTCATCTTTCACTAAAGGTTATCGTTTATAAGTACTCCAAGATATCATCCTATAATAACTAGGGGTTTCTTTCTCTTAAATTCAAAATTCCGAAGCCTATCGACCTATTCTTTAATCCTTAAAATATTTTCTGGTGATTATGTTGGTATAAAGGTTTCTAATGAAAATAAAATCATCAGCTGGGAATTAGTTAAAGTTCCAGGTTTAAAATTTGAAGAAGTCGGCACTGTTAATACAATAAATTATAAGTGAAAAGAGCTTTCAAAAAGGAGGAAGTCTTTATAGAAGGAAATACAAGTTCAAATTGAAAATACTTATCAGAAAATAGAGACAGATTTGAAAGCAGTAAGATAGGTTATATTTTAATAATTTAAATTAACTTAAGGCTCTGCAAACAGTAATTTTAACAGAAGAAACTGTTTAGTTAGACAACACATTTAGTTGGGTATTTCAATTTAGAAGGGGACTAACGAGCTTTTTGGGGAGATATATTGGTTCAGGTTATATTTGATTACATAGTGATATAGTAGATAAAAAAGTTAAAGGAGTAGAGTTAAAATAGAAGAATCAGAGACGAGAGACAAGATATAATCATTGATAAACACAGCGTGCTCTTGAAAGGAACGGCAAGGTACAGTAGAAACCATTGATGGGCTATTACTTGGCATTGCTTGAGACTGCGACCGTCCTTGGTGGCTCTGGTGTTGGGGTGAGGCCCCGGCATGGAACCAGGTGGTGACCCCGATGGCCCCTAGGTGCGAAGATGCGACAGCTTTGGATTTTTTTGAGGGAACGAAGAGCGCAAGAGCGAATTTAATCATCGTTTAGCATGGCTCAAAACTGATTTATCAAAAACCCTTTTTTGAAACTAATGAAGATGAGTGATTTATGGATGATTAATGGATGTACAGGGTCTGCTCTCTAAGGGACTAAGTTCTCATTGATTTAAATTTGCATTAGCTGCCTTTTTTTTGGTTCTGGGTGCATTTTTGTTGGGTGCAAGGCAACTGAAAAGGTATACGACATTGGTCTTCAGCTTTACAGAGATCTCTTGGGAGAGATTGGCGTTGGTTTTAGTTTTGGTTTCTAGTTCTAAGGCTATACCTGTGGGAACAGCGAGATAACAACCACGCTGATCCTTACTCGACACGTAGAGGGATGGTGTCTGGTGGTGACCTCCAGTGGCATCCAGGCCAGCCGACGAGCCATGCAGTGAGTGCAGTGGACTGCTCTTGCCCAGGTCTGAGTTATTAGTATTAGTTCGGATCGGATGAGAGTTTTAGACACTTTTGACACTGACAATGATCCTAAATGAGCTGATCTGATCTGATCTGAGCTGAGTGATGTGGCGGCAGTAGACTCTCAGATGATTCACAGACTCACACCAAACGAACGAGATGAGCTTAGAGTAACCTAACTTTTGTTAGAGTAACCTAACTGTCTCATACTCACTTTTCGACGACGACTGGTTGCGCATATCGGCCAAGGATCTGATGATCGGCAGTCGCGTCTTCTTGGCATACTCGTGCTGGTGGCGATGGCGTCGCAGGAGGGCATCCTTCACCTTGTCCTTGACGCCTGGTGGGAGGGTTCCCGCACTGACCATCTGGTCGCAGACCAAATCGGCCATTACCTCCAGGTTGTCGGCCTCCATGTCCAGCATAACGCTTCCATTGACCAGCAGGCGGCGCAGCTCGAACAGCGAGTGCAGCGATAGAGTGGCCACGTGTGGCTTTGACCACCGATTGCCGCCCTCCTCAACATCCTCTTCGAACTTGATCCAACGCGCTGTTTCCTTCCACTCGATCTCATCGCCTTCCTTGACCAGCATCCCCATTTCGGAGAACAGGGGATGCGAGACATGTGTGCCGTCGTTGACATCTTCGCCGAGTATGAACTGTACTCGTTGGGCTGGAGGAGTCACTGTAAAACGAGGGATTTCGAGTTAGGGAAATATAATAATTAATAATATTATTCCAAAAGGATTCTGGGATGCCATGGAAATTGCTGGGTATTTAAAATTATATAAATAAAGCTTATAAATTGCAAAAATATAATAAAAAGCTAAAAAAGGTTGGAAATTTTGAACATTAAACAAAATCTATAACTTTACTTGTCGCAAAAAAAGGAACTTGGGTAAAATAAGTACACATTTGTTTAAAAAATATAAGTTAAAAGGTTTGGTTTTACACAGTGGTTTTCCCTCAGTGTTTAGACCTTCATTAGCTTAATCATCATTTATGAGCGGGTCCCGCCAGCAACATCTTCCTGTTATTGCCACCCCCGTTCATAACAATCATCTGTATCCTTGGACTCTGGCGAATGCGTGCTAAAGTTAATTGGCGTAATAATTTGGCCCTGATCTGTGCTGGGAATTTGCTACTGACCATTGACCGCCACCATATGTCCTGCTTAGACCTCTCCGAGTGTGGCATTGCGTGACGTTCTAGTACTACCGAAGGATGTTTAGTGAATGCATACACACACATATAGTTATGTGAGCTAAAGCGTTTCAAATGTGTGAAATTGTCTTCACAATGTTTGGCCAAGTGAGGTGATAAATTTTCATTTACAATGTGGATGTTGACTTAGGCTTTAGCTTACGTTTTATAATGAATAAAAATTGATGGAGATAACATTAATTACGGTAGGTTTAAGCTTGAAGATGGATTGGTATGGAGTTAAGTAAGGTGAGTTAACACGTGTGAAAAGCATTACCAAGGCTAAGTAATGTTACTTATAAATTAAATCGAAATAATAACTAAAAACAAGTGGATAGGTTAGTTATGAAGTGCTATATATGTAAATAGGTGTTGGGAAAGGTTGGATAAGCAGAGGTACATATGAAAAGCAGTTAAGCAGGCTTTAAGTAATGCAGTTTACTTAGAAATTATATAGGGTTAGTAGAGGTAAATAAATATTAAAAATAAATGGGTTACATGTGAGTTGTGTGTGGATTGTTTGCAGTAAAAATGACATAAGCCAGTATAAATTAAGGCAAGCAATATTAGCTGCTTGTCCCTTAAAATTAGCTCAAAGGATAATTGCATCATTCCGATTCAATGTCACCCATTAGGCCTGCTTTCCCTCATTACAATCAGAACTTCTTGACGGCAAACTGTAAGCCAATCAGCTGTCATTTTCATTATCCTCCCGAGTGAGTGAAGACTGTAATTTGTGAAAGTTTCCCCCTGCCATTAAGTCTCGGCTCGGCCGAAACTGACTGGCCACATTTACTGACATTTCATTCTGGCCAGAACAGCAGCCGCCATCATTACACACACTTTTGGGGGGGGCAGTAGGGTAGGGTAGAGGGACACCTGGACCCACCTGGTCGCTCCACTTCCTGTTGCTTCTCGCTGGTGTTGTCCTTGCCGGCACCACCGCCCACACTTCCGGATCCGCCGATGGAGCCACCACCACCTCCTCCACCACCGCCAGGACCACTGTGGTGGTGCTTACGCCGGCGCTGCGAGTGGCGACGTCCTCCTGGCACATGGACACCCACGTAAACGGTATGTGCCCGATGTCCTGCAGGAAAAATGGGGAGAAAGTCAGAGGGACACAGAGGCGGAGAGAGAGGGGGCCAAATTGAGTGCTACGTTGTTTATTAATTGCAATTGAGTTACATAATTTCGTTACCTAAAAGTGTTTTCTTTTCTTCTTGATTTTTTCTATTTAAGGATGTTCCTGGAAGCTTAAGTAATTCTTTCAAGAGTTTTCTTAAAGAAAGCTTTTTAAAAATATTTAAAAATGTACTCTAGCTTGGCAGTTTATTTTTGTATAATAATTCTGTAATAATTCATATAAAAGTGGAGCTTTGTTGTCTAAAACTAGATTTGCTCTATATTTCTTTGACATTTACCCTTCCTTGTCTAAAATTACAATTTACTAGCTTTACCCTAAATTGTTAAAATATTAGATTTCTGAAAGGTTTAAGATTTTAACGTCAAGTGGTTTTGTTTATATATTGCGATGTGGTTAAATCATTTTTGTAGCTCATAAACTATAAGTTATTTATACATTTTTTAAGCTCCATATTCTTTACTAGCAGACCCGACCCGCTTTGCTGGGCCCGTACTAATTATAGTTGACCCGGCAAACACTGTTTTGTCATGCATATTATTTGTAGGAAACAATACGGAAACAATGAGCATATTACAGAGTTGTCAGTAAATAAAATATTAAACCTTCAACAGTAATCTTAATATATAAAAATCTCCTGTCACTATGTTTGTTCGCTATAGACTCCTAAACCGCTTCCTCTGCTTGTTCAATAAAATGATACTGGCATCGGGTCGTTACGCGCTCTTCACAATTGCCCATAAAATAAATTTGAAGAAATTTCGGATTATCATCAGGCATCAATAATCAAATTTTGTGGTACATCTGGCCTTGTATTTTGAATGTAGTTTCAAAATTACGTCCATCGGATGCAAGGTCACAAATTTTAGTGGCCCCAAATGACGTCATTTGGAAGCAACTTTTAATTTTGCGTATTTTACGCAAAAATAATTTTGAGTCATTTGAATTTCCAGCAAGAAGGGATAATAAAGGTTCTGGCGGAGCAAGTAGAGGTTGCAAAACGACTTTTCCTGCTGCGCAGCACATACCGGCAGTTTCATTCCGAAATTTAAACGCCTGACAATATTGACATACTTTGTCCATTCCACCGATAGCAATTTTTGAATGCGCAAAGTAGTTAATATCTGGTGCATATTCAAAAGCAAGACGAACGAATGATGTACGAACTAATGAGCGACTGTTCCGCTGCCTTTGTCGTACTTGTGCTCGTACTATACATATCTATGTTTCTATCTCGAGCCGCCCTGATTCTCGTAATATTCTGCTGCAGACGTTCGCTACGCTGCACTATGGGGAATTTTGCCATTTCCGTGGTATTTAGTCATTTTATCAAACTTTAAATATTTGAGTTTTTTTTATGTAAACATATTAAAAATATATGGCTCTATAAAATGTAGTACCAGAAATGTTAATTAACAGTGCACTGTTAAGCCTATCCACTGTTAAAGTCGGCTGTTGTAGCCAAAATGCACGTGATGGAAAATAGCTATTTTTTATTCGGTTACTTTGAAATTGAAAAACTAAAAAGTAGAACCAATTTTTGATTAAAGTTTTGATGGAGGCCAATAGTACTGTTAATTATTATGTGTTGTGTGTACTAATACATTGATCTGTGCGTGTCTTACTGATATATTCCGATTTTTCTAAGTGTTCCTCTAAGGAAATTTTTTTGAAAAAATTTTTCACTTTGAAGAGACATATAAAAAATATATGTCTTTGTATTGCTGTACGTCAGATATATGTTGTAGAGGCATTCATTCTAAATAAAAGGCAATTTGTCTCAATGTGCACAAATCCGCACAATCTGCGTAATTTAATTTTTTTTGCAGGTCTTTTCGAGCAAATTTTACCAAGAAAAAAACATTTTTCAGGTTAATTACATATAAATATTAATGTTTCAAATCATTTTACCTTTTTAAAAAGCAAAAGCAAATTTTTTTGCATTAATGTAAGTGCCAAATGGAAGTTATTGGCGAATTTGAAGGCCTGGACCACTTTTATGAATAAAATGAATATGAAAATGACGTTTTTTATTTTATATCAGACTAAGAGCTTAAAAATGAAGACAATGTATTTTTTTTTATTATGTCTATAAAATATATTGTTTGAATTTAAAAAAAAAAATCCACCTTATACACTTAAAAAAAACATTAAAAATACATAAATCGTCAAGCGAGGGCGGAACCACGCCCATTTTGCCAAAAAACATTTCTTATGGAGTCCATAACTATAATAAAAAAAACCGTTTCAAAATATATTACTTAGTTTAAAAGTTATTAATTAATACCATGAAAATGGCAAAATTCCCCATAGTGCGCTGTTCCTGGGATTCTTGTGCACGACCTTCTGCTGTCCTAATTCTTTGAGCTCTATTTCTTGAATTGACTTGTTCTGGCAACTGATGAGCTCTTTCGAAACGTCTGCGTCGTGCCACTCTGCTGCTTACGTTGTTGAGATTCGATCTTTTCGGTGGCATTTTGCTGAAAATATTATCTTACCTTCTTAATGTATTTCAAATGATAATTTAGAGACTCACCACTTATAAACACAAAACAATAATTATGAATGACAAATGACAATAAAAGAAAAGACATTCTGACGAAATGCGATTTATTGAAATAATATATTACAAAATATGTAATACGTGAAGAACCGCTCAACCAATTTGGTGCAAACTCATCAACAAAATAGCCCGAGCAAAGCATAAAGATTTGGTTAAATAAGCACACTAAATTCCATAAGAATCGGTAAAGCCGTTTCGGAGGAGTGCATAAAAAAAGAAGATTCCTCCTTGTTCTGCCGAAACTGCCATGATGTAAAAGATCTTAGCTATCCTATCTCTCAAGTTGAACCAAACTGCATAAGCACACTAAATTTCATGAGAATCGGTAAAGCCGTTTCGAAGGAGTGCATAAAAAAGAAGATTCCTCCTTGTCCTGCCGAAACTGCCATGATTAGCTATCCTAACTCTCAAGTTGAACCAAACTGCATAAGCGCACTAAATTTCATGAGAATTGGTAAAGCCGTTTCGGAGGAGTGCATAAAAAAATAAGATTCCTCCTTGTCCTGCCGAAACTGCCATGATGTTAAAGATCTTAGCTATCCTATCTCTCAAGTTGAACCAAACTGCATAAGCACACTAAATTTCATGAGAATCGGTAAAGCCGTTTCGGAGGAGTGCATAAAAAAGAAGATTCCTCCTTGTCCTGCCGAAACTGCCATTCTGACTGAAAAGCGACAGACAGGATGGATTGACATATTAGTTGGTTGTCAAATCTAATGTCAAATATTATGATTGCGTTCAGAAATTTAACTTAAGATTTATAATTTAACGTTTGTGACAAAACTTAAGATTTATCTTTCGATTTCTATATAGTCTTATTAAAAACAAAAGACAGATTAACAACTGAAGTTAGCTAAAATTAATTTTCTCGAAGCTATATGAAGCTGTGAGACTATGCAATTTTGTCGCGTTCGCGATTCACTTTCACTTTTGTTGAGTTTCGGAACGCGATATTAGATCCTCCAACGCGCATGCGAATTTGAACTTTATACAGCGGTAATAAATTACAAATTGACTCTCCATTTTATTTAGAAAACGTTTGTATGGGAAATAGAAAAATACTGTTTTGAGGATTTTCCCGGCAATTATTCGAATTTTTCTCACCTTTTATACCTTCCCTAGACCTCCACGAATAATTCAAGACCAAGATAAGATAAATCCGTTCAGCCATTCTCGAGTTTTAGCGAGACTAACGAACAGCAATTGATTTTTATATATATAGATAATACAATTGACGATATAGTAAATTATTCAACTCAAAAAAGGTTTGATTTTTATTAGGCAATAAAATATTTATAGCTTTGTTATGAGTCTTTAAATACAGGTTATACTTTTCAGGGATTTTTTAATTTGTACAAAAAAATATATAATGAAATCACATGAATTTCTTTAAGTTTCTAGGAACACACTTGGCTTTGCATTATTTCAAAACGTATTTTTCCTTTCGTTTATAATCAAGGTTTAAAGTTCACATTAAATTGTGCTTACTTTGGTGATAAGACCTACTATATATAACTCTTGCCAGCCATTTTCAGACCACAGCCTATTGAAATTACGTATACGCAGCGTTGAATCATCTACAAATCAAAAGCAAACTCAATCTCAAGTCTCGTTTCAATTCCCGACCTTGTTCTTTTACCACAAATTTATGTTAATTACTTATTTTCCCTGAATTGAATATCCGCTTCTGAGCAATTTCGTAGTTTCAATTTTCAAAAGGCTTTGCGCTCTGTCAGTTGACTAATTGTGATATCATCTGCTACTTGCTTGCATCAGTAGTTTTTCATAAATTTAAATTAATTATACGGAGCACATCTTATGGCTGAAATATATTCACTTTTCGCCAAGTCACGCGATTAGGTCTTGCAAGTATTAAAGTGGTGGGCGTTGCGTTCAGCGACAACGCAAACTTGTTGCATTTTTAAATGTTAAATGCATTTTTTCATAAAGTACAGTACAGTAGAGATCACTTGAAAGGGCAGCCGCCGCTAGGTGTTATTTTATATATATTACAAATATTAGAATTAATTTTAATTTAAGCCGTGAAATAAAGCGTATGAATCACCGTCACCGGAACAGATGTAAAATGAGACTTAGGTAGTAATTTAAACTAGAACAATTGAAGGCACAGATTAACTAATTAGTACGACCTTCTTTTCAAGTTTGAAATTTCCAGTTTTATCGGGTTTTCTTTCCCTCAAATTTGATTTCCCCTCAAAGAATTTATAGTTTAGTTTAGCCGCGTGTCAAAACGCTGCCAACTTGCAATTAACACGACGCAAATTTCTTGTTTTTTGGGTCTATCAACTTGTCACTTGGCTGGTTTTACAGCTCCGGTTTAATTCCATTCAGGTTTTCTACTTATCAATATTCAGCGAGCAATTAAAAATATAATATTCCAACTCTCAACTCACCCTCGAAATCGTTTTCTGTAAATTGCTGCGTAAAGTCCTCGCCGCCAGTGCGCGGATCCTTTGGCGCCTCATCGTCACCACTTGAGGAGTTCATGGTCCAGGGTCTGCAAAGGATTAAGAGAAAGCCGAAATTTAATATTTGTTAACGGTTAAATGAGTATTGAGAAAAGGGGTCGAGCAAAAATAGAAAAGGGCAGTCTGATTACAGAGCTCTAATTAAATTTTGTTACAACATTCTTCATTACGCTTTTTATATATTTTCTTATCAGGGCCAAGTGTCTGTGAATGAGTCTCGCAGTTACTTAAATCCAACTCAGTTTTACTGTCTGGCAAATATATATCTCGGACCTCAGCTGTCTATGCAAATGCCTTGTCAATCGCCTAATTGAAATGCGCTTTTGCTATTTCCAACGAAACACACACCAATCCATGTCCGTGCGAATGGACAGACAAATATAACTCATTGATGAGTAAAAAAATCGACATAAATTAAGGCAAGTTATGGGCTTTAATAGGGGAGAACTAATACTCTATCTTAGTTAAAAGGAATTTTTAAATAAAATACTTGAAAAATATAAGGAATATATTAAATAGAAATACAAATTAAAGCCGAAATTAATGACTCAAATATTTAACAATTTTTTAAGTGTTCTCCAATAATTTTCCAAATTTTCCCAAATATTTAAGTTAATTCTATATAATTATAGTTTTTCTTTTTTAAAGAAACAAATTGAGCTATTATTAAATTATAAAATGGTATTCAAAGTGTAAAGGTTTTATGACTTTAATTCATGAAACTTGTTATAAGATATTCCCTAAAATGATGTCCTTACTCAACTACTTCATTTGTTTATAAAATTCCACCAATAAAGAGTTTAACTAAAAGAAAAAGCTGGCAAAACGTCAATGATTTCGCATCGAGTGTCATTACCACAATCATTGTCACAGTTTCAGGGGCAGGGGCAGTGGACAGGGACTGTTGTAGTCATTACGCCCATTCCAAACACTTGTCATGCCCATAGGAAAATATTCACCCACAAGCGTTGAATTTTTAAGCTGCATTTCCCAGTCTGGAAATTATTCGTCTGTTAAAACGTTTCAATTTTCGTTTTCATTTCATGCAAATTATTATTCATTCCAACTGAGAGATGATTTCGGCTTTTATATAAACTTTCGAGAGCTACGGCTCCATACACGTGCTGCTGTTCCCTAATTGCCATATGGATATGCGTATATATTTACGACTATTTGGCCAGCGCTTTTTTGCAAATGAATTCATTAGTTTTTATTGTTATTCTCTGTTTGCAGTTGGATTTAGTTTTCATTACTGCTTTGTAATGGAATTGCTGTTTAATTTGTGCGACGTGTTTTGATAAGGGGTTCGTATCTAAATTATGATCTAATCTGAGGTGTGGTAATCATTTAATTTGTTGTATTTTATGGGATGTATCAGCCTTTTTATTATATTTACAGTACAATTATAATTGCTAATATTTTTTAAGGAGAATTAAATAAAAGAATTGCAATTCTTGGATTTGATAAGATTGTTTGTTTGTTATTTAAGGAAAAACCTTGGCAATGACTAAGCTTGTGACCTCTTATATTTATTTATATTTACATTTACAGGCTCTTAACACTGAAGATTGAATTCTCAAATTTAATTTATATATACATATTTATAATTTATATTTTTTTTTCAAGTTTAGACTCTTATTAGTCATAGTTAATTTATTTGGGCAGGCATTGTAAATAAATCAAAATAATTTATAACCCTTGAAAGCTTAGTTAAGTTTGTTCATGAAAATAAAAATTTATTTAAGCTTTCAAAAGAGCTCAAAATAAATCTCTTACTTTAATTTTTAAGGCAAGCCTCAAATGAATCAATTAAAATAATCACAAATGAATATTTCTATGTTGTCAACTTTATTGTTTACACAAACTGGCTAATTTTAGTTATTTCCAGGATCAGAGACAGCATTGTGGTGGAAAAATTTGCATTGCATAAAGGTTTATTTCTATATAGACTATCATCTTGAGTTGTTGTCATTGCCCGCCGCCTTATCAGCCCGAGAAGTGTTTAATCTCTATGGCGGTGCTTGAAACATATAGACAAGACAAACTGACAGTCGAATGGTCAGACGGACACTCCAGGCTGTCTGCCAAATGCCGGTCTAAACTGGGTCTAGCCAGGGTTTTCTCACTATAAATAATAATACCCCTCCTTTCTCTCTAATCGTTCCACCTGCGTGCCTTTTGATTGCCTTATCAACACCTGAGTCACAACAACAAACATAATTTGGGGCCGATATTAACTTAATAGCCGAAGTTATATACTGTGTCAACAGCCCAGTGAATTCCTAGACAATTTGCACTTGGCTTTGTTTAAATAAACGGTCGTCTGTCGGTGTTAAAGTAAAGAAAGTGCGGGGTGGGTGGGGCCCCCAAGTACCCACGAATCTCGCAGATTCTACGTCTTATCTGGCTAATATTTTCGGGCAGTCTAGCTGTTGTTTTTTCCATAATTTATTTATGGCTATTTTTGAAGTACTCTAGTCAAAGGGTTATAAGATTTACTGAGAGAGATTATTTAAATAATATATGTGGGAAGCAGGGAAACTATTACTGTCCGTCACTTGATTATTTATTTGGCAAAAGTTTTCAGAACTTGTATAATTATTTATATTTTTAATGATCCTTTTTATATTATTTTTCAAACTATTTTCTGTTTTATACAAATATTTGTATTATTTTTAATTTAATATGGCATAGTCCAAATTTACAATTCATTTTCCAAAGGGATTAATTTATTAATTGTTTAATAAACCTTTTCTACATTTAGTTTGTTCTTTTCCAAAAATGTAAGTAATTTTTTTTTTTACAGAAATAATTATTTAATTATAATTAACAATATTCCAAATATTTTATACATTAAACTCTCTTTTACCTCAATTAAAATATAAATTCAATAAACTCTCTTTTAAATTTATATTTTCATTAGTAGGGTATTCAATAATTCTTATACACCCCTCTTCACCAATTTTTTCTCCTGCCCTTGTCCCGTTCAGATAAACCCTGAATAATAACAATTTTCAGAGACATATTTTGTGATAAGCCTGGCTGAAAAGTACGACTTAAACTTTGGACCCCGATAACTCCTGAGCTGTTTTTTCCTTTGACACTTTTTCAGCGATCCGACGTTCATGAATCACTCTGTATGTATGACGGCTACTTACAATTCTATGTACTCATTATTTTTGGCCATCACCTTATCGCCGAGAATAGCGATCGGAAAGAACGGGGAGCTTTACTTTTTTCCCTCTGTTTGTGCCGAAAATTCACACACGCACCTCACGATTATCAACCGAAAAGCGAAAAAGTGAACGTTGTATTGTTCCGTTTTATTATTTGATTCTAAACTGTTCGGATCTCGGATATGATAGAGTTATTTTTTTGGTTTTTTCCGTATTTTTTATTTGTCTTTTCAATATTTATTCGACGCGGCCCGACGACTCGACTGCGAGCCCCGGCGATTGCAGACTAACTAAACTCTGACGATCTTCAAACTGAAGCAGCTGCGCTCGCTTAACCCTCTGCTGCCGATTCTGCCGGCGTCGCTGTCGGCGTTAATCGCTAGCGAAAGGCACTGAGAGAAATTCAAAGTAACTTAATCTTATTTAAAAGAAAATTTATATAGTTTTTTTACAGAATTGTAAATAATATAGATTATTCAAATGATAAAATAATATTTTTAATTTTAAAGAGATATATTTAACCGTAATAAATTAATAGTGTGTATATTTTATGACAAAAATATTCTTTCAATGTATTAAAAACTAATTAAATATTCTCAATATAAAATAAAATATTTTTGTTTAGAAATTTTTATTATAAATTTCGAATTTATATTCACTTTAAATTATTTAATTTTTTCTCTGTACTCCTAATGTTAGAAAAAACAAATTCTAGAGAGCCTTAACCGAGAGCGGCAACTTTACAAAATGTGTTTTTAAATGCCAATTTTTGCCTACTTAACTTATCGATAGCTTTGCCTCTAAATGGGCTTCCTTATCGCCGGGTTCTGTTATCAAAAAGGAAAAAAAAAACACTGTTTACCTAACCGAAAGTGCATTTTAATGGTTCATTACAAGATCGGGGCGATAGCAAGCTATATATTTATATAGACAAATCCGGTTAGAAGCACTCGATGCCAAAGTCATATATTCGTTAGTGGCGTTGTGACGGGCATTTAACTGGCATTAAGTCAAATCAAACAAGTGTTCTCTTTGCCACTTTTGGTTAATCATATTTTGCTGGCTTTTTGATCTTTTTATTTTCGACTTTTGGCGGTGTGCCTGGACTATTGTTTTGTTGACTAATGAATATCCACAAACATTTTTTTTATCAAAACACATTCCGACCTGTGCTTGTGTGCGTTTGATATAGATATGTGTGTAGTTTATTATGATATGTATATTTTTTTATGCTTTGTCTACGCTTTTCTCGATGACGAAAATAAACAACAACAGAAATATTTGGTGAGGGAGCCCTTGAAAAATGAATGTAGGGCACTGGATGTCAAACAAAACAAAACAATATTTTGTATATTGTGGTCAAAAAGTAGGAAGTGGTAGAATTTATTTGAAAGGCAGTGGGCCATTTGTCTCTGGTTATTGTTTTTAAGAAGTGGAATGATTGGTAGAACTGGAATATGATTTTTGGTGTTAAAATGGAGTGTATAAATAATAAGATAAATGTATTTCCAGACTAGTTCATTTATCTATTTTAAAAGGGTTTTTAATAGAATTTTTTATTTATTTTTTACAGTTTACAAGTAAAATATCTAGAGATTATTTAAATTTGTTTGACTTGGAAATGCCTTCTTAAAATTAATTAATTTATGTATTAAATAAAAAAGGAAGCTCTTAATAAATCCCGTTTATTTTTTTATTAACATATAAACTCTCAATTGTCTACACATAAAATTGTTTCGATAAACCATATATTTTATAGCGTAATTAAAAAAGGTTTCATATAAATTATAAGAAGTTTATTCTCTTTTATTATTATTACTATTCTAATCAAAGTCCAACTATCTAAAAATTTG